TTTAAGAATAATGTCCCGTGTTGCTCCACAGCAGTTTAATGTTGTCATTCTTCCAGTGCAGGAAAGAAACAATTGTGCTGGTTCCCATGAGGTGCACTGGCAGTTTTTATTTCAACTATACGATGACCTAAAATATGTGCATTCTGTGATAGTTTGCCCTGAGCTCATCTACAGAGCTGTATTGTCACAGGGCAAATTACCTGTTGGTCCCTTCCAAACCCTTACTGCCCGACCATGCTAAGCTCTCCCCCTCAAATGCAATTGGGCACATTAAAGGTTTGAATACTACTACTGAGAAAAGTGTGACAAGTACAGTGTTTCCCACAGTACTTAACCCATTCACTCTATGTACTGAATTAGAAATCCAACATTTTTTTTTTAATCATGAAACAGAACATAGGTCAAAGGTGTAGGTTCTTTGCTCCTATTATACTGTCCATTAGATCCAGGGACAGAAGGAGGATCCAGTGATCAGATTTGACTCTAAAGGTAACCCTAGAAGGTGCTGCCTCCCAAGAGATTCTCACTTCCAATCACGATGGGAACAACTGTCATACTCATCCTTTAGAGTAGACTAAGGCTAGGAGAGACTTGGGAGGGAGATGTAACTCTTTAAAGCAAAGGCTGCAACCACTGCCATATATCAGAAGGGAAGGTAAAGGAAAGGTATATAGAATTGAGAAGATGCAGTACAAGTAAAAGTCATTAATGAAAAGAGGATGTAATGAGGAAAGCACAGAGGTGAGGCAGCATGGATACTGTGACACGCAATGCGCCAACATGCAAACCTGCACAGAAATGACCATGACATCTTGTGATATGAAAATGCTCCCTGCTGTATATACGAAACAGAATCTTAGATCTGAGGAGAATTGTCACAGGTTAACTGGCTTTAAGAAACAATAGATATAAATATCACACATTTCTGATTATACAGTGAAATTATACCTTATCTTCACCTATTATCATTACCCAGAGAGACGAGAGAAAGCTGATAGCTAAACTGAAAAACAGTACACAAAGGAAATATAATTGCGGCAATTGATGTCAAGGCATCTGCACAATGCCACTTGTAGAAGTGATTCTTCTATGAATATACGGCTATGTGAGATAATTATAGCACCTAATATTGATGGCACTAGACAGAGCTTGCCATGTAGACCCATCCTCTGCCTACTGCCATTAGTGCTGTCATTAACTGAGATCTTGCCTTTACCCATGGCCATTTTCTGCCTCCTGCTTCTATAAACGCTTGGAAAACAACACAAGAAAGCATCATGTGTTTACAGACCTGAGATGTGAGGTTTCAAATGCTGCTTGAAGTTTGGAGCCTAAGACTGTATTCACACGATTTGTAGCTTGAAGCTCGAGGCTCCTAAAACGCTCAAACTTAAAAAAAATCAATTGTTATCTATGGTGCTTTTCCACACCTGATCGCATGAAAGGCACCATAGAGAAAAATAAATTTTTTTATGTTTGAGCATTTTTGGAGCTTCAAGCTACAAATCGCTCACGTGTGAATGGAGTCTTAGGGTCCACACCTCTTCAAGCAGCATTTGAAACGTCACATCTCAGGTCTGTACACACATGATGCTTTCTTGTGTTGTTTTCCAAGCATGTATAGAAGAAGACAGAAAATGGCCATGGGTAGAGGCAAGATCCCTGATAGGCGCTACAATGATCTCACATAGCCATATATTAGGATCAGCCCTTCCACTGGGGCTATGGAAGTCTCCTCAACCAGTGGAACAACCTGTGGACACTCCTGTTTTCTGCTAACCTATTCATATCAGGCTCCATTTTGAGGATGTCAGCCCTGGCAGGGGGGGAGGATTCTTTACTGTCCAGCTCTAAACACTAAAACATTTTTTAAAAATTCATATTAAAAAAAGATAATTATGACTAACAAGTCATATTAAGACTTTGTTCTAATTCCTTTCGGTAGCACCATTGAAGGACACTGCAGGAAACCCTACAGAGACAGTAATTTTATGTGCAAAAAATTTGTAAGCAGCCAGTTCACTAGGATCTACTCATATCAACTGATGGAAGAGCATCTATGGTACAGGGGTGCTGCGATCCTCTCAGAGAACATTGGGGGTGTCTTTACATTGGCCTTCATTTTGTACATGTGCTACATAGTTTTGTAGTTTTCAGTACAAAGGGCTTGCTGTAATGCACAAATCAGCGGGCTGCATAGTTAGCAGGCTTAGGAAGAGCATTGCAAATGCCCTGTTAACAACTTATGAAGAGACTTTCCTGAAGAAAAGGACAGAAGAATTGCTCTAAAAAGAAAGACAGAGATTTCCTTAAAGAGAAAGACAGAGACAGCCTGCCAAGAAAGGGAGAGGTAGACACTGCCCTGGTTAGGAGGCTAGAGAGAATTCCCTAACAAGAGATGAAGAGAGAAAGACACCTCCCTGGTTAGCAGGCTAGAGACTGCTCTGAAGAGAAGGATAGAAAGACGGCCCAGGAAACAGACAGAAATCTTGCCTTGGCGAGACAGCTGGACAGACCTGTCATGGAGGGGAGAGATAGACTGCCCTGTGAAATAAGAAGCAGACTGGCCTCGATAAAGCAAAAAGAGAGAATGTCCTGTATTAAGAGAGAGAGAAGGAAAGCTATGGCCCTGGAGAGAGACTGCCCTGGGTGAAGGAGAGACATTTTACTAAAACTGGAGCAGGCATAATCTGGAACAGCTGAGCATGGCAGCCAATTAGCTTCTAGTCTTAGCTTGTCCAGTTAAGCTTTGAAAACGAAAGCCAGAAGCAGATTGGTTGCCTTGCACAACTGCTTCACATTCTGTCTGTTCGTCTTTGTGGATCCAGACATCTCTTTCATTTAGAAATGTTGTACAACATATTGATACAATCCAGAATGGTGGGTTCTATAGAAGGTTCCTTAAGTTCAAGGCAGACCACTGATGATGATTCATCATGGGAGAAAGCACATTGATGTCACTGAGCTGCTTTTGGGATAATGTCTTAGTAATGTGGCCGGATGGAGAGAAGGTGCTTTTCTGGATCCTAGTGAACTGACATCATGCATTCATACATAATGCTGCATGCAATTTACATTAACATTTTTATATGTATCTTTAACTGTCATGGTTTGAAACAATTGTGAATGATGTAAGATGCCCTTTCATACAGGGTTAGTTGTGTATTTTGAACTCAATGGCATGTTAATATAGTGGTGTTAGACAATTCACATTTGTTAAAATGTGAGGACTGCAAGCAAAGAAATAGGAATTTAACTTGGGTGAACCATTCCTACCTGCTTTCATCATGGGACTACAGTAAGTGGCCACCTTCACGATTTCCTTTAATAAACAAAGGAGGCTTAATCATTAAAAAAGGTGAGTCTGACAAACTATTAATTAAAGGGTCAGCCCAACCAAAAGTGATATTGCAGTTTTGGGTAGGTGCTGGCAAGCTGAAATGGCCACTGGCTTATAATCACCAAGAATAGACATGCTTTTTTTTTTTTAAGAAGCATTTATTATGTGACCCCCCCCCAAGATTTGATCCAGCTCTGCTTACATCTAGGGATACATTTTCTGACCTGCAAAAACTAAAATAAACAGTGGATCATACAGATTTGTTAAAGGTAGGTTTTAGCCAATCCTCCCCTCCAGCTTCTGGACACTATTTTTGAGAAGCTCATAGTTCTAGATCCCTACCCCTCACTATACTACTACTTTTTTTCTAAATATGGAAATTGTCAGGAAGTCCAAATATGGGTAGTTGTATGACTAAGGATGCAGGGCAGCCATAAGGACAGGCACCATGCAAGTCCAATATGGGCGATTGTGTCACTAAGGATGCAGGGAAGCCATAAGGGCCAGCACCATGCAAGGCCAAATATGGGTATCTGTGCTAATACGGATGCAGGGCAGCCATAAGGACAGGCACTGTTCCATCTTAATAAAGACAGGGTACTGATTGGTTAATTTACCTGCTGACCAGATATCCTGAATGAAAAGCAAAGTGCCCTGAAAAGGAGCAAGGGCTGTCTAACTGGTAAGATTAACTTGCCGTGTTCAGTTTCCATTTTTATCAGTTTATTTCCCCTTGGTGAAAACTTGACCCTTTGAGATAAATGCGGTCTCCTAAGTAAAAGAAGGGAGACTTCATTATGTATGGGATCTAGGCATTTCAGAGTCTTTGAAAATTCAATTATCTAGTCAGATTCAGCAGTGTTCATCAATACTTTACAAATCAGTTTTGGATGGTCTGACCCTTTAATGGCATTCTCTTCTATTAGGAAAGTCTGAAAGCATGCAGTCTAAAAAGAGAAACGTGGAACAAAATACATTCTGAAAGTGTTAAATGCTTCCATAGTAGTATCCACACTGTGTACCTGTCAAATAGGAGAGCATTAGCACCAAAAGTGATATTTTCTGTACTATGAGAAGCGCTGCTTTCTTAGAGGGCAACAAGCATTCCCATACTATGAAAGCATTTAACACACTTAACCTGGACCTTGTGCAAAAGTGTGAATTTAGGGTTAAAAAGAAATCACAGCAGTTAATATAGTTAAAGGGCCACTAAACCTAAAACAAAAGTTGCCTTTTGTAAACAAGATATTGAAAGTATAGTCAGGTACTTAAGAGTTTCCAGAATTTCAGATATTTCTGCCTGAAATATCGTTTTATCTGTGCAGCCACACCAGGCTCTGAGAGGCTGAGAAGATGCTGACTGCAGTGTCCTCCAATAGGATTACTGGATAGGAAGTCAGCTGTTTCATGTAAAAATCATACAGCGTCATGTGATTATTTAAAAACGCTTTTATATAAACCAACACATGTTTTAGATTTAGTGACAGATATAATTGATAAATTAGTGATGTATCCATGAGCAGGCCCAGAACAGAGCTATTTTATGATTACAATGGAAGTAGTACTGTATTTTCAGTTTTTGGAAATGTAAATGCCAGAAGTCCCTATGGACCCTAAATTCTTGTTTAGCACCTAGCCATGGGCCTTAAAATCAGAATTTTTACACACCATTCGAAGGTGTTAGCACTCAGGTTCATCCCTTTCCTCAATGTTTAGACAGACTTACCTAGGGACACCAGGAGGGGCACGGTTAGGTCTTGAAGGAATTTGAGGGGGGGGACCGAATGGGTCAGGGGAAGCCCCAGGCCTGGAGGGGACTGGTGGTGCACTACCAAGCGTGGTGCCAGGTGGTGGTGGTCCTGGAGCTGGTCCTCGAGAGCCAGGTCTGGCTGGGGGAACAGCAGGTGCCCTCCTCTGTGGGGTAGGACTTGATGTGGGAGACCTAAAGAAGAACAAGCAATATCAGTTTGAGTGGTAGTAGATGGCATAAGCTTAGCAATAGTAAAACACATTGGTAAAGGAAAATTTTACTGATTGAAATTTTGAGACTGTCATTGTTGACCCCTTTCTAAAAATGCTGGTTGCCTGGCTGTAATGATCCATTAACTTTAACCACAAGCCTACAGGGCACTTATACCCCCTTCCTGCCCAGGCCAATTTCCAGCGCTGTTGCACTTTGAATGACAATTGCGCGGTCATGCAACACTGTACCCATATTACATTTTTATCATTTTTTTGTGACAGAGCTTTATTTTGATGGTATTTAATCACCTCTGGGTTTTTTTATTTTTTTTTAAACAAAGCAAAAACCACAGAAAATTTTGGAAAAAAAAAATTGTTTCTTAGTTTCTGTTATTAAATTTTGTAAATAAGTGATTTTTCTCCTTCACTGATGTGTGCTAATGAGGGTGCAGTGATGGGCACTGATAGGTGGCACTGATGAGGAGGCACTGATGAGCATTGACAGGCATCACTGATGGGCACTGAAAGGCAGCACTGATATATGGCACTGTTAGGCGGCACTGACTGGCACTGATGGGCGACACAAAAGCAGCTCAGATGGGCACTGATATGTGGCATTGATGTGCACTGGTAGGCACTGATATGTGGCATTGATGGGCACTGGCAGATGGCACTGCTGGGGCTACACTGATAATCAGGGCACACTGATCAGCAGTGCTCTGATCAGTGTACATGTCCCCTCCGCGGAATGCCGATTACCGGTTCTCCTCTCCTCTCGAGCTGTCAGCGTGACCGCTCGAGAGGACAGAAATGCCGATAACCGGCATTTCCCTGTTTACATGTGATCAGCTGTGATTGGACACAGCTGATCACATGACCGAGCCAACATCTTCGGCTCTTTTCCATGGATCGGTGATCCGCTGTGTCCAAGGGACACAGCGCACCGCCGATCGCCGCACTCCGGGAGCCGCGCTTGTGCGGGTAGAATGGGAGGACGTCATATGACGACCTCCCACCTTGCGTCCGTCATATGGCGGGCGGGGGGTGGTTAATGCTTTCTGAGTCAATAATCAGGGACATGCACAGAGATCAGGGAAGTGAAGTCAAAACGCCTGATCTGCATACTTCTGGTTATATTAACTGTTGATACATGACAGCCAGGCAACTGGCAATTTCACAAGGTTCTTTACTTCCTCACTATCGGTTTTCTTTAGTGGTTGACTGGCCTCAGGTGACACACGGAGATTAAACAAATCCTCCTACAGACGTTGTACTTGTTTCTTTACAGTCTTCTCTCCTCTACATTTGTTCACAGTGCAGAATTTATACAGTTTGTCTGAGCTTCCAAAAAAAACGGGGCGGGGAGCTGAAGTTACAAACTGCAAAGTGAGGAATGCTCTGAGAGCTGATTGGAAGAAAGAGACACATCCCCCTCCACACAGGAACAGAGTTGAGGATGTCAGTCTGCTGGAGGTCCCTCCCCTGTCACCCTTTTTTGCTCTTGGTGTCAAAAACTTGTCAGAAGCAGAGGAATAAGGCAGCAGACAGAAATGACACTTAGTACTTTGTACTGAGACAAGTATACACTATAGAGGAATATGTTTTGTTCATAATTCATGGCTGAGGTTTACAACCCCTTAAAAGGTTGGTTGAACATTGTAGGGATGGGCAAGAAACAGAAGGCTGGATAGACCCCAGAGTTTAAATGAGAACGCTACACAAAACTTAAAGCTTAAAATGGAAGTCCAGTCAAAACCTAACTAAGCTAAAAGCTGCTCCCACCCCTTTCCTAAGCCCTATACTAACCACCCTGTAATAAAAAAAAATGTGTTACCGATTTTCAGTGCACTCCAGTCTGGTCAGGTGAAATCCCTAGTGGCCAGCGACTGCAGAGCTTGGGTGGTGATGTCGACCATAGACTTACTATGGCACATCTGTTGTTTGCTGTCCCAACTGAAGCCAGCTCTGGGAGCCTATCACGTCGCTGGACCAGAGCAGGTAAGTGTAGGCATCTTTCCTTTACAGGGTATTTAGTATAAGGCTTAGAATAGGGGTGGAAAGAGGTTTAAATTTAGTTAGGTTTTGACAGGACTTTCACTTTAACTTCAGGAATTAGACAAAATCTATCCTTGCAATGGGCCTTCCTTCCCCCTGAATTCAAGGGTTTATGGGTCTCCAAATCATAATTATGATAAAGGGGAAACATGTTTACTGGTATCTACTTTTCTTCCTGCTACAGCTTAAACTTTTTTGGAACATTTCATTTCTGCAAGTTGCCATGTAAGAAAAGTAAAGTCCCCCCACTCTTTGCAGTTGCTGGAACGTGGTCTGAAACCTAGCAACAGTGCAAGTTACTTTGACAGTAAACCCCTACTCTAGCAACAATTTATAATACTTAAATTGCAGATCATTTATTTGTAAATTGCCACCTTTTGTATGCAGATGCTATTGCATTTTACAGGAACAGGAAGGTTAAAGAACCTGCTGTTACGTAAGTTTACTGGTAGATTTTGTCTTGATAAAAAAATGCATTGGATCCATCAAGAAGCTGTCACAAGAGTGACAATACTTTCTGTGGGAAAATTCACTTTGATGCTACCAAGCATTATAGGAATCACTGTAATCTAAAGAGTGATCAAAGGTAGCCTGATTACAGGCTAGATGCTATATACCAGGCGTGTATGGTACAGGGATCTGCATCAGAGACCAAATTGCTGAATCATACCATAGTAAAATTTGTTTACCAAAAATTCCACTGTAAATGGTGATATGCTGAAATTTAGGAGGCCTTTTAGTTAACCGTATGAGTTATGACTCACTTCCAGATCATTTTCTGTCTGCTTACCTGCGTCCTGTTGGAACACTCTGCACCTGTAGCCAAGAATCATCCACAGGTGGAGGCATAGGGGTGCTGATGGTTGTTGTGTTGATATCTCCGATAATACTTAAGGCTTCTTTCAGGGCATGGTACATGCGCAGCATCTCATCCCTGTGCTGTGCCTGTTCCAGTGATTCTTCCATCAAAGTATTCTGGTCACCACATGAGTACAAATTGGCTAGAAGCTCAGAATGGATAAACTCCTTTGTCTAAAAACAAAAAACAGAAATTACTATAACTTCACCTCTATAGAAAAGTGTCAATTTCCTGTTTCAATTAATATTCTCAAGTGCTTGGAAAGGTAATCAGTATTTATTTTACATCAGTTTTTTAATTAGGAAAGCGACTAAATTGTGGAGAATTTGGGTAGGTCTCAGTAGGGGGTTACACATGGTAAATGATACCTACCGAAAACTAAGAAATTGGAAGAGGCTGCCTTCTACTTTTGTGCATACAATTTTGGAGGCGATAATATCTTGCACAAAAGGGAGGGGCAAGGGAGATCTGTGCCTTTATTTTCTCGAATCATTAAAGTTGTAGGTAGTTTTCAAGGGTGGAATCAAGTCATGCCTCATGGAGAATAAAACAAGCCATAGATGATTTGATTTTCTTTCCTGCAAACATGGGTTGCAGAAAAGAAAACCACTAATTCCCCCCCCCATCAACACAGGCAGTATTGATGGGAGAATTCCTCCTGCAGCACTAGTATGTTCTGTTGGCATGGAGCTTTCCCGGCCAGCAGAATGCAGTGATTAACACTAGAAGCTAGAACCGCCAGCAGTAATTTACGTAAAAAATCCAACAGGCTGGTTGTACCAAAGTTGCTCGATGGCTTGACTTTGGTACAACCAGCCCATAGAGGGACTGAATCTTGTCTGGTCCCTACTGAACAGACCGAGATTCGATCCATCTATGACTGGCTTTAGACTTTGCCTACTTTGGAAAAAAAACAAAGGAAGACTAGCTCATGGGAGAGCATGGTGCAACCAGGACTTCAAGAGTCACTTGCCCACTCATCAATAAGATATATTGGGCTGGTAGCCCTGAGGACTACTTCACACATCATGGGGTCTTTTATTTTTCACTGCATCGTGTTCAAGCCTGTGATTCTTTGTCAGTGAGAAAACTTTCAGCACAAACGTTCTTTAGTGTCTCTGAGATGTCACATGAAAGAATACCAAGAGCCACAAGGAAGGCTGTAAGATGTGAAAGGTGTTTCAGAATACACAATATATTGCACCACTTTCACCATGCTGACTAATCACTGTGGCAACATGGTATACCTTCTTCATCCCACAGAAATGGCCACTTGGCTGTATTTTCTCCACAGGCCAAATTTGCAGTCTTACCTTGAGTTGTGACAATGATGTTCTGCGTGACAGCTTAGCCTGTCAAACCAAGCCCATAAAACCCTCTAGCACTGCCATGGTAGCAGCCAAACAGTATGGAAATATACAGGACTACATCTGGATTTATACATTAAATTTCCCAAAGAAAGGCATCTACCACTGCTACTATCTTAGTTCATAACAAGAAACACATTGCTGATATACAGTAAGGTCCATATATATTTGGACATAGGCACAATTTTAGATTTTTTCAGGTATTTACCAAAACATATTAAAGCTTTAGTTATATGATGGATATGGGCTGAAAGTGCGCACTCTCAGGTTTAATTTAAAGGTATGTACATCCAAATCGGAGGAAGGGTTTAGGAATTACAGCTCTTAAAAGTAGCCAACCCCCCCTTTTTCAAGGGACAAAAAGTAATTGGACAGTTGAATCAAAAGGTGTTTCATGGCCAGGTGTGGGCTACTCCTTTGTTGTTTCTCCATCAATTAAGCAGGTAAAAGGTCTGGAGTTGATTCTAAGTGTGGCAGTACATTTGGAATCTATTGCTGAACCTACATCATGCGTTCAAAGGAGCTGTCCATGCAAGTGAAACAGGTCATTGTAAGGCCTCAAAAACTAAACAAATCCATCAGAGAGATAGCAGCAACATTAGGAGTGGCCAAATCAACAGTTTGGTACATTCTGAGGAAAGGAATGCACTGGTGAGCTCAGCAACATAAAAAGGCATGGGCGTCCACAGAAGACAACGGTGGATGATCGCAGGATCCTCTCTATGGTAAAGAAAAAAAAAAACATTCAAAACATCCAGACAAGTAAGAGATGCTCTCCAGGAGGTGGGCATATCGTTGTCAAAGTCTACAATCAAGAGAAGACTTCACGAGAGCAAATACAGAGGGTACACCACAAGGTGCAAACCATTCATAATCCTGAAGAATAGAAAAGCCAGATTAGACTTTTCCAAAAAAACATCTAAATAGCCAGACCAGTTCTGGAAAAGCATTCTTTGGACGGACGAAATAAGATTAATCTGTACCAGAATGACAGGAAGAAAAAATGTGGAGAAGGCTTGGAACAGCTCATGATCCAAAGCACACAACATCATCTGTAAAACATGGTGGAGGCAGTGTGATGGCATGGGCATGCATGGCTTCCATTGACACTGGATCATTGGTGTTTATTGATGATGTGACAGAAGCAGCCAGTTTGTGCTGTGTTTAGATATTTACTGTCAGCCCAGATTCAGCCAAATGCAGCAAAGTTGATTGGACGGCGCTTCACAGTACAGATGGATAATGATCCAAAACACACTGCAAAAGCAAACCAGGAGCGTTTGAAGGAAAAGAAGTGGAATATTCTGCAAAGGCTGAGTCAATTACCTGATCTCAACCCAATTAAGCATGCATTTCACTTGCTGAAGGCAAAACTAAAGGCAGAAAGATCCACAAACAAAGGACAACTGAAGACAGCTGCAGTTAGAGCCTGGCAAAGCATCAGCAAGGAGAAAACCTAGTCTATGGTAATGTCCATGGGTTCCAGACTTCAGGCAGTCATTGCCAGTAAAGGATTCTCAACAAAATATTACAAATCATCATTTTATTTATGATTATATTTAATTGTCCAATTACTTTTGGTCCCTTAAAAAAGGGGGATGACTACTCTTAAGAGCTGTAATTCCTAAACCCTTCCTCCATTTTGGATGTACATACCCTCAAATTAAACCTGACAGTGTGCACTTTCAGCCCATATCCATTATATAACTATAGCTTGAATATGTTTTGGTAAATACCTGGAAAAAAAACTGAAATTGTGCCTGTGTCCAAATATATATGGACCTAACTGTATAGGTGAGCTTTATGGTGCTCATACCTGGTGTATGATTCACCAAATAAAAAAAAACTAAATAAAACAAAAAACACATTTTGTATATCTTTGCAATGCATACACAATTCCCCATGTTTTGTCTCTTTACAAACACAGAAAGTACAGAAACGACCCCTGAGCTTTCAGAAATCCAGTGAGCATTAACTTCCTGTAGTGAGCTGAAAATGACCCCTGCTGCACTTAAATCTAAGAAGAGTTGTCAACCCTGCTTTCTGGACTACAGGACACCTCTCCTTATGTTATAGAGATGGAGATATTGGAAAGTCTTCTGTAGTCCTAAGAGGAGAACACAGCCAGGGTTAACAATACTGCTTGGTATTTCAGTGCAGCAGGGGCAGGTTTCCAGCTCACTACAGGACGTTAGGAAATCACAGACTTTTTGGCATGATTAGAAAGTAATTCTCTGTACTTGCATATATATGTGAATTGCATTTCTGGGTAGGGGGCGCGTGTGTCGCCATTGGCAGCCAGGGATGTCAATCACCGGGTCCCGACCAGTGATTGCCCACCGGCACCTGGTGATCGTCTAGGAAAGCTGACGGGAGAGACCTGTGTGTAAACAATATAGGTCTCTCTCCTGTCAGCATGGACATGTTGTGTTGTATCTTTCTGCACAGCAGAGAGGTACAAAACAGCATGTCTCCAAAGTAAAACACACACACAGTTAACCCTTTGATCGCCCCAGATGTTAACCCCTTCCTGCCCAGTGTCATTAGTACATTGACAGTGCTCTTTTTATTAGCACTGATCACTGTATTAGTGTCAGGGGATGTCAGTGGCAGTTAGTCCCCCCCCCCCCCAGTGTCAGAATGCCCGCCGCAGTTCTGCTATAAGTCGCTGATCACCGCCATTACTAGTATAAAAAAAAACTCCAGTATCTACACCGCCATTTGTAGACGCTATAATGTTCTCGTAAACAAATTCATTTACACGTATTGGGATTATTTTATTGGATGTTTTATGGCAAAAAGTTAAAACTATATATATATATATATTATATATATATATTTTTATTATTTTTTTATATATAAATTTTTTTTTTTTTTTTTAAATTGTTGGTCTTTTCTTGTTTAAAGCACAAAAATAAGAAACCGCAGAAGTGGTCAAATACCACCGTAAGCAATCTCTATTTGTGGGAAAAAATGGACATACATTTCATTTATGTACAGCGTTGCATGACCACACAATTGTCAATTAAAGTAATGCAGTGCTGTATCACAAAAAATAGCCTGGTCAGGAGGAGGGGTAAATCCTTTGGAAGGAAAGTGGTTAAAAAGAACAAAACAAGGTGAAATGGCATATATTGTAAAAATGAACTGAATAAGTTTGTTTTATATATTTTACCTACCCCAAGGACACTAAGTAATTACTTACATTGTTAATCATAAGATGCATTATGGTTTTGGGCATCAAGTCCCGGATGGTCTTGTTGACTATAGCCATGTAAGAGTCCACAAGATTACGGATAGTCTCCACCTGTCTTTCCAACTGAGGGTCCATTGAATGCATAAAACTGTCAGATCCATTCTCCTCCGACTCACTAGCCTGCAAAGCCAAGAGAAAAAAAAAGAAGATATACAAAGCTTAAGATTGATGGTTGGCAGAGCACTACATGACGGCGTCCATGGCATAGTCTGTTACTGACATTGAACTGAAACAGCCAGGACACCAGTGGGCAAGAAGGAATCTTCCACATTGTTTACAAGACTTCTGTATCCTGTAAGTTTTATCCGCCTGTAGTAAGTAAGATCTTGAGTGGACATTTAAAGTGGAAAATCAGCCAACATTGGTTTGTTTGGATAAAGATAGGAAGTGCTGGAATCTTTGTCACGGTTTAATTGCTATGTCCCTAATGGGGGTATTTCCATTACTTCCTGTCCCAATGTTAGTGACCTAAACTGGAATTCCAGGATTGATCAAACTAAACTTAAACCTGCTCCTACCCTTTCTGACTCCTATACTATTTACCCTGTAGAAGGAAGATGCTTATACTTACCTGTTCTCAGAGCGCTACATTCTTGTCATGCGATTTCCCCAGCAGCCAGCTTCAGGGGAGAGGAGAGAGCAGTGACAACAGCTAGAATGCCTGGGCAGTGATGTCACCCACAGGCCTATTATGAGGCATCCGTTGTCAGTTGTTCCTCTCCCCTGAAGCCGGCTGCTAGCAGCTGATCATGTAACCAGTCTGGAAGCCCTGAGACTAGGCAAGTATAAGCAGTTCATTTATACAGGGTAGGTACTATAGGATTCAGAAGAGGGGTGGGAGCGGTTTTAATCTTAGAGCAATCCTGGAATTCCACTTTAACTCTTCCCCATTGTATCAAAAAAAAAAAAAAAAAAGTTAGACTTCCACTTTAACTGGATAATAAGAAGATAGTCCAATAGTCAAATCTTACTATATACAAACAGCTTAACAAATCAAACACAGATCACCTTTTGGAGACCTGCGTGTTTTAGGAAAGCTTAAATTGCACCTGTGTCCAGACTATGGGCATTCAATGTATTTGCATATGTTAAACAGGCATTAAATGCTATAAAACAAGTTGTCACTGACCTTTGTTGTTGCAGGTACTGTGGAGTAGGGGCCTATTCTCTCTGCAGCATTTATGATGCATGCTATAAACACATGCGCAACTTGTTTTTTTTTGTAAGTGTTGCATTGCCTTTTTGTGTACTGTCGTATGATTTTTAATACGTTGGGCTGCACTGGGTGTTTTTTTTTTCTCCCACAGAAAGAAGCAAAATGCTTTTTATGTTGACCAACTGCAGACTGTAATGAACTGTGGTAAAATGCAACGTGTCATATTTTTTTTCCAGCATACATCAATGCAGAGCCCTGATCTGAACTAGTATTACAGGCAAAAATTTTCTTAGAATAGAGAGGGATTAGAAAATCCCAAATTTTGGTCGTCAAAACATAAATAGAAGGGAAGTGTGCCAATGGGGACATAAAGTCTGGTGACAGCCAGGGATTCCCTCACTTAGGAAGAATTTCCTCAGTTCCTGTTTTGGCTAAGGGACGAGAAATGAAGGGAATCTTCCCAATGGGACACAGAGGGCAAAAAAATGACGAGATATATCCTTCCTTTAGTTGTACTTGAAATACAAGACTGTTTGCTTTGTCCTTGTTTTGGGACTGTGTTGCAGCCTAACATAGGTGTTGAGAATGAAACCTAATTCATCCTTAATCACATCAGAGTGTCTTAAGTCATGTTTCAGTCAGCATGTAACAGTATACTGCACTTTGTTTACAATAGAAAGCTTGGCAAGGGGGAAAGAAGCTGAAATTTTACAGCCTCTGATGTGAATTTGAGGATGAATCTCACCACAGTGACAACAAATACAGAAGTCAGTGAAGGCTTGTTATAAAGTTCCTCTGCTGATTGTTAAGAATATGTAAATACTTTAGTGTCCATGGTCTGGGCACAGGTCCTCTTTAAGACTGCACTATGAACCGGAGAGGGAAATATGAATTCAGAGGAGAACAATGGGGAAGATGGATCCCCTAGGCCCTACCAGTGCTGTTTCACTTCACTATTTCATGTCAGGCATGCAAAATAAAAAGAATGTTAATGGAGAGAGTTCGGGAGAAAGTCAGAACCAGGAGAGAAAAGGGGGAGAGACCCCAAATTAAAAGTTCTGACCAGACTCGGAGACAGACGAAACTGAGGATATAAAAAAATGATGAGGGAAGACAGTAGCCCCCCCCTTAAAACATCCAGCCGGGGCCACTCATGGGAGAAGAAGAAAGGAAAGTGAGGTTGTTAAAGAAGCAGGAAGGAGCATCAGGACTCCTCTGGAGCCGACCGCACCACTTACTTTATCCTTGTCCTTTGAGGCCAGATTGAGCCACAACACAATAAAATAAAACACACAAAAGGGGACAAAATAGAAAAACACCAAAATTAGTGGTTAAGGAGGAGTCCCTGACTCTTGTTTTTATAAAATGATGACACAGGAAAATGAGCACAGAGTGGGGGTCTTGCAAGAAATGGCCAATGGCTTAGAATATTAAGCCACCAAAAAATGGACATCCCAGGGAAGGGAACTAGGAGATGGAAATCTGGGAGTAAAAGGTAGTAGTCATCTCATTGGCTATCATGACCAGCATTTGTCATATACAGTGCATCCAGAAAGTATTCACAGCGCTTAACTTTTGCCACATTTTGTTATGTTACAGCCGTATTCCAAAATGGATTTAAATTAATTTTTTTCCCTCAACATTCTACAAAAAATACCCCATAATGACAACGTAAAAAAAGTTTGTTTTGAAATCTTTGCAGTTTATTAAAAAAAAAAAAAAAACAAACACATGTACATAAGTATTCACAGCCTTTGCCATGACGCTCAAAATTGAGCTCTGGTGCATCCTGTTCCCACTGATCATCCTTGAGATGTTTCCACAACTTGACTGGAGTCCAGCAGTGGCAAATTCAGTTGATTGGACATGATTAGGAATGGCATAAAGCTGTCTATATAAGATCCCACAGTTAACAGTGCATGTCAGAGCACAAACCAAGCCAAGACATCCAAAGAATTGTCCATAGATCTCCGAGACAGGATTGTATCAAGGCAGAGATCTGGAGAAGGGTACAGAAAAATTTCTGCAGCATTGAAGGTCCCAATGAGCACATTGGCGTCCATCATCCGTAAATTGAAGAAGTTTGGAACCACCAGGGATCTTCCTAGAGCAAGCCTCCCGGCCAAAATGAGCGATCGAGGGAGAAGGGCCTTAGCCAGGGAGGTAACCAAGCACCCGATGATCACTCTGAAAGAGCTCCAGCATTTCTTTGTGGAGAGAGGAGAACCTTATAGAAGAACAACCATCTCTGCAGCACTCCACCAATCAGGCCTGTATGGTAGAGTGGCCAGGCGGAAGCCACTCCTCAGTAAAAGGCAAATGGCAGCCTGCCTGGAGTGTTGGAGAGAGGGACTCTCAGAGCATGAAAAACAAAACTCTCTGGTCTGATGAAACAAAGATTGAACTCTTTGGCCTGAATGCCAAGCGTCATGTCTGGAGGAAGCCAGGCACCACTCACCACCTGGCCAATACCATCCCTACAGTGAAGCGTGGTGGCAGCATCATGCCCTGGGGATGTTTTCAGCGGCTGGATCTGGGAGATTAGTCTAGATCAAAGGAAAGATGAATGCAGCAATGTACAGACATCCTTGATGAAAATCTGTTCCAGAGCGCCCTGGACCTTAGACTGGGGCGATGGTTCATCTTTCAACAGGACAACGACCCTAAGCACACAGCCCACATAACAAGAGAGTGGCTACGGGCCAACTCTGTGAATGTCCTGGAATGGCCCAGCCAGAGCCCAGACTTGAACCTGATTGAACATCTCTGGAGAGATCTGAAAATGGCTGTGCACAGACATTCCCCATCCAACCTGATGGAGCTTGAGAGGTACTGCAAAGAAGAATGGAAGAAATTGCCCAAAAATAGATGTGCCAAGCTTGTAGCATCATACTCAAAATGATTTTTGAGGCTGTAATTGGTGCTAAAGATGCTTCAACAAAGTATTGAGCAAAGGCTGTATACATATATAAAGGCTGTATACTTATATACATAGGTTTTTTATTTTTAATAAATTGAAAAGATTTCAAAACAAACTTCTCTCATGTTGTCATTATGGGGTATTGTTTGTAGAATGTTGAGGGAAAAAAATGAATTTAATTAATTTTGGAATAAGGCTGTAACGTAACAAAATGTGGCAAAAGGTAGGCGCTGTGAATGCTTCCTGGATGCACTGTAGTCTCTTGTTGCCCCATGCCAATCTCATTACTACCTAATGTATGATGGCTTAAAGACCAAGGAAAGCTGAAGGATTGCACTTAGAGAGGTATGGTCTGCTTTTTCTTTTAACCTTTAATATCTACATATAATATATGACCAAAGGTTTGTGGACATCAGATCATAGCACTTAAGTTTGATACCAAGGGTATCATCATTAATATTGAGTTGATCACTCTTGCCCTTTTGCAGATATATTCGCCTACACTCGTATGTACACTCTGTGGACAAAGTTTTAGGAATGCATGGCACTTACAGTTGTGTTCAAAATAATAGCAGTGTGTTGAAAAAAGTGAATAAAGCTCAGAATTCTTCTAATAGCTTTTATTTCCATACACACAAATGCATTGGGAACACGACACAGTCTATTCCAAATCAAAACATGAAGAAAAATATATCAAAATTTGTGTTGTTCCTCTAAAAAAAAAAAACAGAAGAAAAGTGAATATTAGACTGTTCAAAAAAATCGCAGTGTTTGTATTCTTCTTTACAAACTCAAACATTCACTATATAAACTGAAAAATGTTTGAAGATTTTGCTTTCCTTTAAATCACTTAATGAATATTTAGTTGTATAAGCACTGTTTCTGAGAACTGCTGTACATCTGTGTTGCATGGAATCAACCAACTTCTGGCACCTGTGAACAGGTATTCCAGCCCAGGATGATTGGACTACATTCCACAGTTCTTCTCTATTTCTTGGTTTTGCCTCAGAAACTGCATTTTTTATGTCACCCCACAAGTTTTCTATTGGAATAAGATCCGGGGACTGGGCTGGCCACTCCATAACGTCAATCTTGTTGGTTTGGAACCAAGATGTTGCACGTTTATTGGTGTGTTTGGGGTCGTTGTCTTGTTGGAACAGCCATTTCAACAGCATTTTATCTTCAGCATAAGGCAGCATGACCTCTTCAAGTATTCTGATGTATTCAAACTGATCCATGATCCCTGGTATGCGATAAATAGGCCCAACACCGTAGTATGAGAAACATCCCCATATCATGATGCTTGCGCAAGCATGCTTCACTGTCTTCACAGTGTACTGTGGCTTGAATTCAGTGTTTGGGGTCGTCTGACAAACTGTCTCCGGCCACTAGACCCAAAAAGAACAATCTTACTTTCAGCAGTCCACAAAATGTTGCGCCATTTCTCTTTAGGCCAGTCAATGTGCTCTTTGGCAAATTGTAACCTCTTCAGCATGTCTTTTTTTCAACAGTGGGACTTTGCGGGGGCTTCTTGCAGATAGCTTGGCTTCACATAGGCGTCTTCTAATTGTAACAGTACTCACAGGTAACTTTAGAACTTTGATCTTCCTGGAGCTGATTGTTGGCTGAGTCCTTGCCATTTTGGCTATTCTTCTATCCATTCGAATGGTAGTTTTTAACTTTCTTCTACGTGTTTCAGGTATTGGTTGCCATTTTAAAGCATTTGCAATCATTTTAGCTGAGCAGCCTATCATTTTCTGCACTTCTTTATATGTTTTCCCCTCTCCAATCAACTTTTTTAATCAAGGTACGCTGTTCTTCTGAACAATGTCTGGAACGACCCATTTTCCTCAGAATTTCAGAGAGAAATGCACTGTAACCAGCATGTACAACATTTTTTGCCTTCCTTCCTTAAAGGGCAATAATTGCCACCTGTTTTTCAAAGAATGAATGACCTCACTAATAGAACTCCACGCTGCTATTATTTTGAACATGCCCCTTTCAATTAGTGATTCAATTACACAGAATCAGCAGCATGCATGTCATGACTGTTGGGTCTGTTGGATTTCTATTACTCTACTACACCTGCTAGTAAATTATTTGCCATGTAGAAATATAATTTCTACCAAAAACAGTGATCGATCAGGTTAGTGATGTCTGACTGCTATTATTTTGAACACAACTGTAAGTGTGAGTTGGACATTCCAAAACCATAAGCATTAATACAGAGTTGCTGTCCCTTAACGGCAGGGCTTTCTAAAGGGTTCAGAGTGTGTCTGTAGGATTATGTACAGGCAAAAGAGCATTTTTGAGGTTCAGGTCCTGATGTTGAAAAAGGGAAACAGCATGCCAAATCATTCCCTAGGTGTTCAGTAGGGTTGAAGTCAGGGCTTTGTGCAGACTTCTCTAGTTCATCAAACCATGTCTTTATGGAGCTCACTTTGTACACAGGGACAGCTTGTTAGGCATCCCATTCCAAAACCATGGGCATTAATATGGTATTGTGCAATAGCAGCCTTCATCCTTTTGGGAAGGATTTTTACAAGAGTTTAGAAAAGGTCTGTGGGAATATGTGCTGATTGAGCCAAAAGAGCATTTCTGAGGTTAGGTACTGATGTTTGGCAACAGGACCTGACTTGCAATGTGTGTTCCTATTCATTACAATGTTTCTCAGTAGGGTTGAGGACAGGGCTTTGTGTAGGATGCTCCGGTTCCTCTACACGAAACTTATTAAACCATGTCTTTATGGAGCACACTTTGTGCACAGGGCCATAGTTATACTGGAACAAAAAAGGGCCTTCTCCAAACTGTTACCACAATTCTGGAAGGTACAATTGTCTAAAATGTATTTGTATGCTGTAGCATTAGCAGTGCCTTTACCTCAGTAATTTCCAAGGGTATCTACATACATTTGGGTGCATAGTAGGTGTGATGGTCAGGTGTCCACAAACCTTTAGTCATCTATTGTGTGAGGCATTGTTGTTTAAAGATAGACTTGCTATTTACTTTGCCATGCAGCAATTTATGCAGCAGACGAGGAAGTTTCAGCTGTCTCAGTTTGATGATTTCACAGCAGAGTAGTTCTGATCTTATTGTTTTTTGGGTAGTTTTTAAGATAGATTTTCTGTAAGAAAATAAGGTTGGAATAGGGTTTGTAGACTATTTTTAATATGAAAGCCATGTAACCAGTGCAACCCTTTATTTCTCATTAATAGGTCTCATAAAAAGTTTCTTTATCTCCACCTCGAATGGCTCTTCTGTTGTCAAGAGCCACCTCATGTAACCCCATACTTATTGCTGTTTAGAACTAATTGGTATTTTAAAGAGCAA